TATATATATATATATATATATATATATATATATATACATATATATATATATATATATATATATATATATATATATATATATATATATATATATATATATATATATATATATATATATATATATATATATATATATATATATATATATATATATATATATATATATATATATATAAAGTGGCCCTTGAAAATAAAATTTTTAAATCAACTCCTGGCACCTTTCCAGTTTGTGCTAATTATGAAAAAAATAATCTATAAAAAAAATTATTGCAGTTGGATGATATTTAGGTGTCGCTCTCAAGCCTTGAAGTTTCTACCCAAAGGACAATTTCGGTTTTGTTTTTCACTTATTTTCAGTTTTCGACAACTTAACAACTGTGTAATTTATTTTTACAGATTAAAAAAGATGAAAATGAAAAATGAAAATGAAAATGAAAATTCTTCTATCGACTAGTCATAATACAAATTTAAGTTGAAATTTTAAAGTTTAAACATTGATTGTTTCAAAGTTTAAACATTGATTGTTTCAAAGTTTAAACATTGATTGTTTCAAAGTTTAAACATTGATTGTTTCAAAGTTTAAACATTGATTGTTTCAAAGTTTAAACATTGATTGTTTCAAAGTTTAAACATTGATTGTTTCAAAGTTTAAACATTGATTGTTTCAAAGTTTTAACATTGATTGTTTCAAAGTTTAAACATTGATTGTTTCAAAGTTTAAACATTGATTGTTTCAAAGTTTAAACATTGATTGTTTCAAAGTTTAAACTTTGATTGTTTCAAAGTTTAAACATTGATTGTTTCAAAGTGAGATTTTACTTAATACTATTTCCTACGAGAATTATTTTGTTGCAATCTGGCAATTTTCTGAGATAATCACTGGCAATTTGAAGAAGAAACGGAATTTTAATAAAAAATTAACTAATGACGATCCTCGTCATTAGTTAATTTTTTATTAAAATCCTGGATGAGGGCAACACCTTGCTTAGCCCCATCGCTAACGACAGCTAGGATTTTTACTACATGTAATGCTCAGTGGTAGGCTTCGTTTTCTTTCTACTGAGAAAGATCTTTGGAAAGCAAGGACTCAGGAAGTTTCAAATACTGTAACAGTTTCTTAACATTGGTTGTGCAGAACTGTTCCAGATCTCGCTCGCCAAGAAACGCATCAGTCTTTATGGTCGGTTTTTTTGAAAGATGATCTGGAGCTACTTCTTCCATGGCAGCAAGCATCAGTCTTTTGGAATCATGTTGTATTTTAGTGTCAAACAGGACTAATCCAACTAATTCCTCTGATAAGTACCATAGGTAAAGGCTAAGCTTCTTACTTGTAGCAGCAGAAATACCCAAATGAGGATAACTTAAAAGTTGCTTCATGAGTCTAAAGTCGTTTAGAGGTTTCTCAACTGCTAATGGTGAAGTCGTCTTAGCTATGAAGTGAATAACTACAGAAAATGTAGACAGATCTCGACCATATTTTGATTGCGTAAATAACTTTGATATCCATTGTGCCAAGTGCATGGCCCCAGACATTAGAAATCACACTTCTCTAGAAGAAACATCACTGTGTCATTTTGTCATCTCGTGGTGGTTGAACTTGAACAAAAACATTTCAAATGTTTTTGTTCAATTTCAATTTTGTTTGAACAAAATGAAGTTGATGAATCAGATTCTAGAACAACCTAGTTTGAACATGTGATAACTTGTGACGCTTCAATTCTTTTTCCTTTCTTTCCTGGGCATGTTTTCTTTAATGTGTTTCTACTTTATTAGAGGCATTAATATATTTAAACAATCTTTAGATAGGTAATCCTACAGTTAGGTGGCCTAAAATAAATCATTTTCACGCTCTCGTTCGTATAGGTATTAAAATATCATAAAACATTTATTATATTTTTATGATTAATAATAACTATTGTAATTATAAATAATCAAATAATCATTATAAATGAATAATATTAGCATTTATTATTATTATTTTTTAATATGCATTTTTATACTCTTCTCCATTATTTTAAATATGAAAAACAAAACTATTTTTGCCCGCTAAACTCTAGGATTACCCTTTAGAGGTATAAGGTAATCTTAAAAAGGAATATTATTTACTATAAAACTTTTTAAAATGTAAAAATAAAATAGTACAAAATTAAAAAATTCCAGGATTATCTGAATTTTTAACTATATTAATTCTTTTTCCTTGATTTTCCTTAATCATAAATATACCTAATTTGGTTTTGATCCTGTAACATTTTATATTGTACCTATTATAAAAATTACTTATGATGTTTTACTTTTTTTCTACTAAAAACCATAACAAAAGTTGAAAAATTATTTCAAACGATAATCAATCAAGATTCCGCAGGGATAACAGCAGACAAATTTAATTTAATTGTATAAGTTTAACTAAATAATTAATTTAACCAAGGACGTAAAATAAGTAAAATAATTTAACCAAGGACGTAAAATCTTATTTTACGTCCTTGATTTAACTAACTTTATTA